GTGATTCCGGTGTCTATGACTCCAATGGAAGGTAATTATAAATATTAATCTTATATTATTGTAAAAAGTATTATATTCTTTAATATTCATATATTTGTAACCTATTTTGTAAATAATTATCATTTTATTTACGCAAATGTCATTTTACTCCTCATTCTTGATTATTCATAATAATGTGCACGATAATTTTAAAATTTATATTCTAAAAATTGAAAACGTACAATTTTCATAATTATTACAACTTTGGAAATTAAAGCTAATACAATTTACAAAGTTGTCAATTGTAAATTAAAGAGGTATTTGGTTGGAATAAATTCCAATATGAATTAAATGTTTAGTAATTGGAATGAGTTTGAGTATCATAGAATAGAGTTATAGAGGTATATTTCACGTACTCTACTTTTTTACTTCAGAATTGCACTCTAATATTTTTTACTCCGTACTTATATGACATATACAATCAGTACATATATATGTATGGAGTAATAGTGTGTAATACGTACTCCATAAAAATACACTTAGGACATGTTTTCTTTTTTTTTGAATGCTACTAGCTCTATTACATTGTAGTATCTGTTCATATACTTTCTCGAGGCTCGAACTTACAACCTTCCAAATGGAAGTCCAACCCGGGTACCATTGGACCACATAGTCCTGGTCACTTAGGACATGTTTAGTTCATGGAAAATGTTTTCTAAAGGAAAATGTATTCTTTGAACTTGAGGAAAACTAGATTTTCCTTTGTTTGGTTAATGGAAAACATTTTCCATTGGAAAATATTTTCCTCAAAAATGAGGAAAACATTTTCCAGGTCCCCCCTTGGTATTTTGTTTTCCATGGAAAACAAGTAGGACGACAATTATGCCCTCACCAACTTTTCATTATTATTATTATTATTATTATTATTATTATTATTATTATTATTATTATTATTATTATTATTATTATTATTATTATTATTATTATTATTATTATTATTATTATTATTATTATTATTATTATTATTATTATTATTATTATTATTATGTAGGGGTATAATTGTTTTTATACTCATTATTCCTTACAATTCCAAACTCAACTAAACAATGGAATCGATATTCCCAGTAATTTATTTTCCACCAACCAAACAATGTAATTAATCTTCCCGGTAATTTCTTTAATTTCCCTGGAATTTCAATTCTATTTCCCTTCAAATATTTTCCGCGAATCAAACGGGGCATTAGAATTTTGAATAACATATTGTAGGTTTGTTGAATCAAAATTTGAGGAGATGTTCAAGAAACATGCAAGATCAAATGCTAATGGCTTAACATCAAAGGAATTGGATGAAATGCTGAAGGCTAATAGGGAGCCAAAGGACTATGGTGGATGGTAATTCATTATTCTTTTATTTCTCTCATCATGAACTTGATTTTGACAATGATTATGAAATCTGAATAACAAGATATAACATATGCCTTATATATTAATTATTATTTGTTTAAATTAGGTACAAGGTAACATGAAAACATAATGCATTGCATATATATAGCAGCATAATATTGAGTTTGGTTTGCAGGGTTGCGGCATTGTCAGAGTGGAAGATACTATACCTAGTAGGCAAAGACAAGAATGGGATTTTGCCCAAAGAAACTATAAGAGGAGTTTATGATGGAAGCTTGTTCGAAAGAATGGCAAAGGAGCATGCATCTAAGAAGCAACCCTAATTTTTTTAATCCTTGATTTTATTTTATTACTTGAAGATGAATTTAATATAATGAAATGAACTTGAATTGAAGGGTTGAGTGAATACTTCATAGTAATTTTTAATATTTTATTGATTTTTATTTCAAGTGGTAAAAATTCCCCAGCTTAGAAATGGAGTTTATGAATGTATATATAGTGTGTATTATACTTTTGGAATGTACAAAGTAAATTTTTTTTAAAAAAAAAAGAAAAAAAGAGTACATTTGGTTGATTGACGAGTAATAAAAACTGCATATCTACCAATAACCTTATGATCTAGTGACACGGAGTGATTCTCCTAAATGGGAGGCCATGTGTTTGATCTCTAATGGGGGCGGTATTGACTCTTTGTGCTTCAATAAGTTGAGAAAGTAGTTATAAACAGATACTACATTGTAACAGAGTCATAATGTTGAGCATATAATATAACATAAACATAAATGTGCAATTCAACTAGTAGCTTAGGCTTTTAGTTGAAATGGAGCACATGCTTAAATTTGATATCAGAGTCATACCAAAGGTCTACGTGTTGCTTGGAACCCATCACTTGTGAGGGGGTTAGCTTAGGTTTTTAGTTAAGATGGGGCACATGTTTCAATTAGTAACACACTTATAAAAAAGAGGCCTATATGTTCATATATATACTTAGAAAACTTTTCATATCTAGTTGTTATATTGATTTTTAATTAATTCGTGCCCAGCTATTTCCAATCAAACAAATTTGAAATGAAATTCTATATTTTTCTTTTGTTCTAATATAGTATATGTTCAAATATACTTTCTCAACATATTGAAACACAAAGAGTCAATAACATCTCAACTGCGACTTGAACGCATGACCTCCCATTCGGAAGAGTCACTTCATGCCACTCGACCATAACGTCATTGACCTGTATTTAATTTATTTACGGGAATACTTACAATAGTTACATAAAGGTGCTCTCTGAGAGAGGTAATTCATAATGTGAAATTCAAACTTGAAATATAAATTTAAATTAGTGTTTTACCCGTACGATGCACCAAAAAAAATTGTGTTATTATTACGAATTTAAATAAAAATTAAAAAAAAAATAAAAAGATGTTAAAATATACAATATATTATCACGAAAGTATGAGTATTTAAATGGCAAAAGTGAATATCTGGGACTAAATTTGAAAATGTCACCAAAGATAATGGACATCCGCTAGAATTAACTAATTGCGAAAATAATAAAAAGAAATTGAAGAGATGAAAATATTATTGCCTAAAATGAAATTTCAGCAGAAAAATCATTAGAATGACCAAAAGTGTTCAAAATATGATAGTATGTGGTGTTAAAGGACAAAAACGATAATCTAAAACTAATTTTAGAATTGTTACTAAAGACAAGGGACCTTCGTTGGAATTAACTTTAAAATATATTTTAATAAAGGAATTTCGATTGTTAACATTTAATATCATGTACTTCACACAATTAATTGAAAACAGAAGTAGATCTATGCTTCTAACAAATATTTAAATGCAGTATATTGATTGACTTACTGTCTCTATATTATATTTTAAAATTATTAAAGTATTTTGATCATCATCAATAAAGATAAGAAGGAATAGAACAACGCTGGGCGTCATAGTTTGGACACGACTACACGAGTATGAATAGTGCTTAATTAATGACAACATTCCAACACCCTGGCTGGACCTACTCTTTTGCAAAGTTATTATTACTTAATTGAATAACTAAGCATGCATATGGTTCCTTTAATTTGCTCTAGAGACAAAAATTGCAAGTGGGTAGAGTATGTCTCACGCTTGGATGGTCACAAGCTCAATTTTTATCAACATCTTTTTAGTTGTAGAGAATCTTTTTAATGTATGGCAGTTTTTGGAATTTTGGTGGTCCGGACTTGTAAATAAATAAGACCCTATTAAAATTATAAGTGCGATCTTTAAAACTAATTCAAACCATAAGAAATTAAGAATCTGACTAACTTAATATCTCCAAAGTCCAAACAAATAGAAAAAAAAAAATTTAAAAAAAAAAAACATCTTGAAACTACTTGGCTGGCTGGTGGTTACCTGCTAGGCTGCCGCTATCGTTTGGAATGCAAGTAGAATGATCTATCAGGAAGAAGAATCAATTTCTCAGGCGGTATTGGTGGTGAATTGGTCAATGGTACAAGTTTCAAGTTATCTCTACAGATTCAGGATAAGACATCATATGTGTCGTTGGGGAAACAAAACGGTTTTGTCATGCGGCATACTCAATTACTTAGGTCCTAATTATTATGAGAGATAAGTGATTTGGGGAAGAAATATATGAGTTTCAGAATTAATTGCAGAAATTTTTTTTATTTCTTAAGTAGTTAAGTCAAAAATAAATATTAGACCCCCTAAAAGTTGAGACTATGTATTTTTGCACATTTTGCACACCCTAACAGGGCGTTTGGTTGGAGGGATTTTAAATTCCCTTCTCACTTAATTCCCACCTAATTCCAAAGGCCATTAAATTCCGTAGTTTGGTTGGAGGGAATTGCAATTCCCCCATTTTCATGGAATTAAAATCCCATGTCCCCCCTGGTATTTTAATTCTTGGGAAAAAAAGATAGTGATGAGTCAAAATTATCCCTTCCTTTTGTAACCTAAAATTAATGTCTAACAACAATAATGGACATTTTTTACTTTATACTACTTATTTCCTTTCAATTCCCATGTATACCAAACATTGGAATTGAAATTCCCAGTAATTCTATTTCTGTCAACCAAACACTGGAATTTAAATTACCACTTTATTCCCAGTAATCCAACTCCCATGAAATTACAATTCATTTCCCACATAATTCCCCCTCCAACCAAACGCCCTGTAAAATCTGACCTATCTAATGTGATTTATGGACTATTATATAGAAATAATGTTTACCCATTACATATACCAGCAGATAATATCGTAATCCAAAAGAAAAAAAAAATTACAAGTTACATGATTAATAGATTAAAATTATATTTTTTATTGGACCTGAAAGGGTATTGTCGTAACATACCATAAGAAAAACACTATATTAAACAACTAATATTATTCTTCCCAAAATGTTAAATCTCCAACTCCAAAGACACTTCACACTCATATCTCAACACGACAAAGTATTTGAAAATTGAAAAGATGTAAATTATGGTAATTCAACTGAACTACAGAGACTAGATCTTTGCTTACTATGCACAAGGAGCCCCATGCGGACAACAATTAATATTATTTGGAAGAATATAAGAAGGAACCTTCGTTTTCTGCTGTTGCCACAGGTACACAAGCACCTCACTTGCTTATATAAACATACATACACACCAACAGATCATATCATCACAACTGCAAAACCAGACAACCTAGCTAGCTTAGCTTGCTGCAACCTCTGTTGTTTTTCCTTAAATATTTCCAACCAATATATATAAAATAACCAAATCTGTTTCATGGCCGCCCAAGATTCTACTTCTTCCTCCAACAACGCTATTGTTTACCATGATGGTATGCCGATTATCCTTTTCTTGAAAATATAATATTTCTAGAAAAAAAAAATACATTTTTTTTGGGGGTAGTATACTAGTATATATAGGCATATAGCTTAATTATATTAATAATTTAATTGTGATTCAAAAAGGTATATATTTATTTTGAGAATATTATATTGTTGTGGGAAATAAAATATTTAAGAAAATTTAATGCAGGAATGGGAAGGCCTTCTGAGCTGTCCCCTCTGCAAAAGCATGTATCGTTCTTTGATATCAACAAGGATGGCATCGTTTATCCATGGGAAACTTATCAAGGTTACTTTATTTTATTTTTTTATTTTTATTTTTTATTTTTAATACTTTGGATATACTCCATATTGTTAGGGAAATTTTACAAATGTCAGCTAGGCAGTAACATTTTGTTAATAAAAATAATAATTTGACTCATATTATTTACAAATTTTTGTTTAAAGTCACCATTCCCTTTTCTAATAGTTGGATATGAAAGAAGTTGTATAGTTAATTACGTTTAATTGAATCATTATTTTTTGTGATTATATAATTATTTATTAGGTTTTCGAAAAATGGGATGTGGAGTGCCTCTCTCCGTTTTTGCTTCCTTGTTTATAAATTTTGGTCTCAGTCAGAAAACTCGACCGGTAAGATACACACTCTTTTTAAATGTATATGAAGATGCATAGCGGTAATTGTGATTGTATATTCATTATAAAATTTAATTAAATATTCAACAATATAAAATTCGATTATAACTGAGCTAAATATTCATTCATTAATGTTTATTGTGAGCAGGATTTACAATAATTTGTTTATTTTTTCAAATTAAAAATTAAATTTATAGTTTAATGTCATTTTAGAACAGTATCTTGCTTTATTCAATTATTCGTACGAATAGGATGTCGTTTTAACTATATGTGGCTGTTGCTTAAAAGTGGCCCACAATGAAGTGATAATTAAGGCACTTACTATACACAACAAAAATGAGAGTTTCCACTAAATATCAATCATTATTGGTCCACACAAACACAACAAGGTAGCTCAAGTGGCAAATGAGCTCTCTTTGTGAGGGAGAATTCCGGAATAACCCGGATTTGATTTTCACAACTCACAATTGACGATTCCCTTTGGGCCAGCTTCTGTGCCTCTCAGAGCGAACCGGGTGGACCCGGACCACAATGTGTGGTTGACACCATTATTGGTCCACACAACTATGCAGATTATACTATCAAATAATATTTTATACTAAAATGTACATTGTATTCAGGAAAAGTACATTATTTGAGTACTAAAAATATATTATTTTGTATAATGTACATTCAACACACAAATAATATACTTTTAATATATTAAACATGTACATTTTGTTATTGTTCACATAGCATTATATGGACCATGGTCCATACAATAATTTTCCACTAAATATCAAGCTAAGCCTTTTCTTTTTTTCTTTTTGGAAAAAGAGAAAATTGCATATTATTAATCGTTTGAAAAAATAGTTTATTATTATTTTTTATTTACGAAAAAATTTGCAACTGCTACTCAAATATATATATTTAAAGTAAAATTTATCTTGTGACCCTAACTAGTTGGCAAAGAACTACGGGATATAAAGAAGTAGAATAACATTCAAATTGAGAAAAAATATTGCTACCTTTAATTCATGCTCATTGCACACAATCTCTCTCATTCTTTCTTTGTTGTGAGTTGTGACACAAAATTAAACCTGCACCTTAGACCTACGTGTTACAACAATATGTTTGTAAACACACAAACCGTCACCAATTATTGACTTAAAAAGAAAAAGAAAAAACTACTCATTTTGAATATAGAAAATTACAATTTTAGTCTCACAACTATTATATTTTTATAATTAGTTATTAACATTTAATTAATTTGATCATTTAGTTCCATGATTTTGTTAATATTGCTGCATTTGATCATATACGTTACAATTAATATTCAATTAACTATAATTTTTAATATATTAAAAGTATATAATTTGTATATTGAATGTACATTATTTAATAATATACAAAATAATGTACTTTCAACACTCAAATAATGTACTTTATGTACACAAGTAATGTAATTTTAGTATATTAAAAATGTAATTTTTTATTTACGGTCGACATGGCGGTGTATATGATGGTCCATGGAATAATGATTGAAATACAATTTAAATAGATAGTCTTTATTCAATGTGTAATGAGTGTGCATTTGTTTTTGGTTGTCCTTGTCTAAGATTCTAGCCATTTTCTGACTTTTTCTCCTTTTAAGTATTTTTTTTTTTTTTTACTTTTGATTTTGTCTGGCCAAAAGTACGTAGAATATATATCCACCTTGATATTTAATTTGTACCTAAGCAATGTGAAACCTTGATAGCATTATGTGAGTACTATATACGGCTCCTTGGAATGTCATAAATCACTTGACACTTGTGATTGTGTGGTTTAGAACTTACTGTCCATGTTGTGAAAAATCACCCTTTTTCACTGCATGGTCACATCAACTCTCTAATTGATCTTAGTTTATATTGTAATTTGAATTTATAAATTTTAAACTCTTTAGGTCTTCAAACCTTTAACTCTTTGGTTTGTCAATTCTTCATAGCTTAATGACTATCTAAGTATACACCTTCGAATAGTTACGTTTACTTTGCGTGTAATTTTGCTATATATTCTGAAAAAATTAATTTTATACTTCAAAAATTCTTTGTTTTTTAAGTATGTATTGACAAGAAATTATGGTGTGAATATATAATAATTAATGGTTTATTTCAGGGAAAGTGGCCATCCCCTCTACTCCCTATCGAGGTGGAGAACATCAAACTTGGCAAGCATACTAGCGATTCTGGTGTCTATGACTCCGAAGGAAGGTAATTCTAAGAATAATGATTTTTTTTTTTTTTTACAAAAAAAAAAAAAAAAAAAAAAAAAAACTTTTTAATTAAATTTTCACTTTTATAGTGTCATTGTAATATTGAATTTTGTGTACTTAATTATTATGATTTTTTGTATGTTAAGTTATTTTAAGTCAACCAATTTACATATAACTTATGAAAATAAAAAGTCGATCTGATGATGATTTTAACAGGAAAAATAACTTACAAAATAATTATACTCATTAACATTATAATAGTATTGTATTATTCATTAGTCAAATCCATTTTTCTTTTTTCTTTTCCCAACTATTTATTTTAAAAAGTCTATAATTCTCAGTTTCTCACATTTCACTTCTTGTCTTAAATAAAACTTTTAATATAGCTTTATTATACTAATTTTATTCAATTCACTAAATCTAAATTAAATATTATAAAAAGGTGAATCGTTACTCATTTGAGTAAAGTCTCGTTACCTATATAATACTTGTAATTTAAAACAAAAAGTAGTATTATATTATATTTATGGAATAGAGCTACTATTCTTATTTCACAATTTTTTTTTCCATTATTTTCCATTCTTCATCTAATATATAAAAGTAGGACATGTAAATAAAGTAATACTCTATAAAAATACACTTAGAATATTCGATCTCAATGGATTAATGGTAGTTCGGAGAATGTATAATGAATAACAAGTTACTCAAATTATATACCAATAATATAATAATGTGGTTGACACATTTTGTAGGTTTGTTGAATCAAAATTTGAGGAGATATTCAAGAAACATGCAAAATCAAATCCAAATGGTTTAACATCAAGGGAATTGGATGAAATGCTCCAGGCAAATAGGAAGCCAAATGACTATGGTGGATGGTAATTCATTCTTTTATATCTCTCTTCATGAAATTCTTTGACAAAGATAATGAAATCTAAATAACAAAAAAAAAAAAAAAAAAAAAAAGGTATAAATTAGGTACAAGGTAACATGAAAACATAATTTTCTGAATATTCTTGATACTTCATTAAAATAAAAAGATCTGTAAGGGCACGGGTGATAGTAATAGTTGTAACGATAATCGTCTTCAATAAGTATTAAACATACGTCATATAAAAAATCTCAGATCAATTCTAAAAATAAGTATTGAGGATTTATAATCTGTGAGATGTTTATTGCTTAATATGGGGCCGGTTTGGTTTGCAGGATTGGTGCATTATCAGAGTGGAAGATATTGTACTTCATAAGCAAAGATAAGAATGGGATTCTGCCCAAAGAAACTATTAGAGGAGTTTATGATGGAAGCTTGTTTGAATCAATGGCTAAGAAGCATGCATCTAAGAAGCAAGTATAATTATATTGTTTTTTTTTTTTAAATAAAATAATATTTTTATCCTAGATCTTATGTTATTAGTTATTACTAGAACATGAATTTAATGAAATGAACTTGAATGAGTGTTTAACTACTGCATAATATTGTTTTAATATTTTTTTTTCAGGTGGTAATAATTTCCTCTTCTTAAAAATGCATGGAATAATTTATGAATATATATGTGTATTCTACTCTTGCAATGTATGATGTTGGGGATTAGTTTTGTCCCCTCATGTTTTGTGCATTGTTTTGGTTTGATTAATAAAGTTATGTTGATGTTTTAAAAAAATAAATGCAATTACATTTGGTTGGTTGGTTCACAAGTAATAAAAACAAACCTATGTGTTCATTTATTTTTTGGGTATGGGTTAGGTTAGAAACCTTTTAATATCTTGTAGTACAAAATTTAAATTTTTTAATTGTTAAAAAATTACAAATCATAATAAATTAAAATATTAAAATTTAATCTTCATTATTGATTTTGATCAACAATTAAAATATTTTTCATATCAATTTATTTATTTATTTTCTTATAGAAGTTGTTCATAGGAATAAAATTTTCTATAGATCTCAATATATAATGACATTTAATTATATTTTACAATTACATATATAACAACATAAGTGTGTCGTGAAGTGGTAGTAATTGGAGCATGTTATCCGATTCATCTCAACTAAAAGCCTAACTCAATAGCCATATATGGACCATAGTCTATTTTTTTATCAGGCGACGTAGTCCATTTTTTTATCAGGCGACGTAGAGATGTTTCGAACCCATAACCTTTGGCATGGATGATTTTGCTCAGCTGATACTGAATTGAAATATGTGTTTCATCTCAACTAAAAGTCTAAGTTGATAATTGGATTGTACATTTATGTTTATATATTGAGTTAATTCTAATTTTTGTCTTAGATTTATAAGTGTCAAACCATTTTTAGTTCTTTTTTTTTTTCAAAACATCCATGTTTGGTCATAGTATGGCATGACCATTTTTTGTCATCCGTCAACAAAACTATTTAAAATAAATACAAGGGCATTTTGATCTATTCAGTTCTAATTGTTACATCCCCCCCCCCCCCCCCCCCCCCTTTTTTTTGTCTTACATTTATATGTGTCATTCCATTTTTTTTCCAAAACATCCCACGACAAATATAAATCTAAGACCAAAAAAGAAAAATGACTTAACACTTAGAACTGAATAGACCAAAATACCCTTGTATTTAACATTATTTAAACAGTTTTGTTGACGACAGTGAACAAAAAATGGTCATACCACAATAATACTATGACCAAATTAAACGGGGTGTTTTGTAAAAAAAAAAAAAAAAGTGGGCTGACACCTATAAATCTATGATCGAAAATGGGATTAACTATTTATATATTATATGCTCAAGAGTAGTGGACTAATAGGTAGGTCTTGTTACTTGATAGGTCAAGAGTTTAATTTTTTGTGAGTGGTCATTTATTTTGGATAAGTTAATGTAATCTATTGGTGGTATATATAATAAATTTTAAATACTCGTATTAATAAAATGATACATATGTTGGCACATAAACACCATATTATGATTGATGTGACAGTGATAACGTCATTTAGTAATTAAGAAGAAAGTACATTCAACAATCACACAGAACCTATGAAAAATTACATAAACTTTTAATTTCACTTTCATTGGATAAAAATCTAGTGTATTAAGAAAAATCATCAACAAATATCACAAAATAACAAAATCCATCATTTAACGGCTAGACCTGACGGGTAAAGGTAACCAAACAGTGGCATTAATTATCCCTTCATTTACTTTATGCCTGCAATTTCTATATCACAAAATAACAAAATCCATCATTTAACGGCTAGACCTGACGGGTAAAGGTAACCAAACAGTGGCATTAATTATCCCTTCATTTACTTTATGCCTGCAATTTCTTTGAAGCACTTTGGTAGAGAACACTCAAACTGAATTACAGAAAATCGTATGTGTAGAAAGATTGGTAGAGATTTTTGCATTGGGGATGTAGCTCAGATGGTAGAGCGCTAGCTTAGCATGCGAGAGGTACGGGGATCGATACCCCGCATCTCCAATTTTTGCTGAAAAGGTTCCCTTCTATTTGGTCTTCTTGAGATGTTAAGGCTGAAGATAGTATTTTTTAATCCAACGGCCATATATACACACTGGGGATGTAGCTCAGATGGTAGAGTGCTTGCTTAGCATGCGAGAGGTATGGGGATCGATACCCTGCATCTCCAAATTTTTGCTGGGAAGGTTCCCTTCTATTTGGGCTTCTTGAGATATTAACGCTGAAGATGTATATATAACCCTCCCAACGGCCATATATACACAGACGTAAGGTGGGACGTTATTACTATGGGTTCGATGTGTACGTATATCATCTTCGCATAAGTTTTTTTGCTGTAAAATTTAAAAAAATTTAATGTCATAAGTTATTGAACATTTTGTTTGAGTTAGAAATATAGCGGAAGTCTTTAAACTTATTTTAATTTTGTTTGGCAAATTAAGTGCATAAATAAAGTAAATAAGAGAGAGATTTAGCCAAGGACCTTGGGGTTTAGTGACATGCATCAAGTTGCTCCTTTATATAGGAGGTTGTGGGTTTGAATCAGGCGGACTGTACTATTTATTTTTTATGCTGTATTAGGTTGAGAATACTGCATTGTAATAGAGTCAGTAGTACGCAACTCCAATTGTAGTTTTTATAGAGAAAAAACTAGTTGTGATTTTAGAACATATAGAAATGTTGGGTTTTTCAGGTTTTTTCTCTTGCAAATACGTGATTTTTGCAGGAGAAGAAAAAAAAAAGGGAGGGAGGGGGGGAGGGGAATGCGTGTTTGGAGCGCACTACGCGCCCGCGTGTTTTCCACACGCCAACTGGGGCGCTTCAGAATAGCCGCCAACTGGCAACCACTCTAAAATGGTTCTATCTTTTTTTTTTCTTTTACTTTTGGCCCGTTGCAAATTCTTTTTTTTTTTTTTAAATTTGTTAAACCATTGTTAAATTTTGGCATGTTTCCTTCTTTTTTTTTTTTTTTTTTTTTTTTTTTTTTTTTTTTTTTACCGTTGCATTACAACGGCAAAATTCCTTCTTTTTTTTAAAAAAAAATTCTTTTTTTATAAATTTGTTAAAAAACATTGTCAAATTTAATTTTGTTGTTAAATTTTAACAATTTTATAATAATAAATTTATTTTAATTTTTATATGTTTAATTTCAATATAATAATTATAATTTTTATAATGATAATAAAAAACGATAATTAAAATATAATGGAGTAAATTGGTGGGTCCATAAAAAACATAGAAAAAACTTAAAATTAATAGGGAGAAGGGTTTTTAAAATTGGGTGAAATAGTGGATGATGAGTAGATGTGGGGCTCATAAAAAACTTGAAGAAAAAACCAAACTATTTAATTATCTCCTTTCTTACAAGGAGGAAATTCAATTTAAACAATAAACAGTATTTTAAAGGAATATTGAGTGCATACGCTAACGTTATATATATATATATATATATATATATATATATATATATATATATATATATGAGTACTACCTTACAATGTAATATTTGTTTATAATTACTTTCTTAAACACAAAAAGTCAATATTAATCTCACTCTGAAATTCAAATTCATGACCTCCTATTTGGGAGAGTTATTTCATGTCACTAGCCCACTAGTGATTGGCTACATTATTTAATTATCATGCACTTCACGCCATTATTTAAAACAAAAGTATATATTTGCTTTTGGAAATTGGAACCATAAAGTAAATTGACAAACATTTAAAAGCATACAATTTATTGATTTATATACTGTGTGTATTTTTATTTTTTATTTTTTATTTTTGACAAAAGAAATCAACAATCACTATCTAATGGTATAAGTGTATTGTGTTAATCTACTTTTGTGTAATAGTCCACAAACAACGTAAGAGGTAAATCGTACTAGGAAAATCACATGCGACGAACTTAACCAAAAAAGTATTGATAAAATCAAAGTCATAAATACGAGAATCATGATCTGTCCACTTAGTCACTCCTAGCTTAGTGTTAATTGGTATATTTTTAACTTTTTAAAAGTTGTTGATCTGGAAAAGAAAAGTATAGCTAGGTAAAAAGGAACAGAACCGCGTATGGAGGTGAAGATAGAGTATAAAATTAAAGTACTTTATTAATGACCAAGACTACATATAATAATAATAATAATAATAATAATAATAATAATAATAATAATAATAATAATAATAATAACAACAACAATAACAACAAGAACAACAATAACAACAATAACAACAATAATAACAATAATAATAATAATAATAATAATATAATAATAATAATAATAATAATAATAATAATAATAATAATAATAATAATAATAATAATTGTAGAGGTTCTTCTCAAGAGTCTCTAAAATTCATATCATCAGTAATGTCTTGAGAAGATGGTTTCACATAACACTTCTCTTGTAAATCGTAGAGATAGTTTCTTGGTATTATTCAAATCTTGGAGATTATCGCTTGTAGTTCTTTCTCATGTGTTCAGTTGAAGTATCTTTCTAAATAGCATATATATAATACACTAGAACTTGTAAAACAAGTAATCCTAAGATATTCCATGTAGCATGAATTACTGTCTTACCCTTGATGTATTTCAGTCAGAGATGGTATTCTTGTAAAATAACCTCAAGATGCGTAATTGCTCTACCAGCGTAGAAGAGAAGTCAATGTAGTTCCAACGGCTACTTTCCAAAGACTATGGTGTAGACTTTAATTTGTTCTGCTAGATCTTCAAACAGTATACTAACTAGTACTTAGACCTAACCTATCTATTTTGTCATAATAATTCTATCAATTACAAGTTGGGGTTTACAATACTAAACATTAACAACAATTCATTTTCAGTATAATACATGTTTAATTTGATATGCTGTATACTAAAAACGAATATGTATTAAAATATAACGAATATATATACTAAAACTAAACATATATTATACTAAAAATAAACTTGATAATATATTAAAATAAACTTGTATTAGCAAGATGAACCTAAAGTGTACAATATAAGTTGCCACTAATTTATAGGTAGTAATCAATGAAAATAAAATAAAAGAATATCTTGTTAAAATTTTATAAGTAATGCCATTACCATGGAGTAAAATTATTGCTAGAGAAGTCTATTAGCCTTCTTAGTTTGAGTCGATCAATTATGGACAATCTAGATTAATTTACTTCTTTGTAATCCTTTAATTAAGGACTAAAATCACAAAGCAGAATTTGGTTGATACTTACTCTCACTTAGTGCAATAGATTTTTTTTTTGAAAAAATCAATCTGTCAATTGTATTAATTGATGAAAGCTATAATAGTGTCAGGAGGGATAGAGTCCCAATACATAGAATGTTCCTGAGTAAAAGCTAACGAAGCTAAAGTATGAGCATGTAAATTAATCTGTCTAGGCACATAGCTTATCAAAATAAAATTAAATAAAGACATCATTGTCTTGCACTGGTCTATTATTAACCCAGCATACGAGTGAATGGGTGTAACTTGGTGATGTATGGTGGATCGCAGAACCATACAATCCGTGAGGAGATTGGCCGAATTAATGCTCCTTTCAACTAACCAGGACAATGCCTCTTTAAAAGCCATAGCCTCCGCCATGAGTGGTGAAAAACAAACGGGTGATCTGCCATTCTTAGCTGCCACAAACGAGCCCCCGGGCTCTAATAACACAACTCCATACGTAGCCTCCCCGGTTTCCTGCCGATACCCCGCATCTATATAACATCGCATGTGATTGTTGGACAACACTGGTTCGGCATGTGGGTGTACATCTTCTCGCGTGGAACAGCCGTGTACCGCACCATAGGCTTTCAGCAATGTTGCCGCCCCCTTCACAACAGCCCGCGGCCGTGACATGGCCCCTTCCCACACGGCTGCATTGCGGCTCCTCCAAATATTGTATAGAACTCCCACCAAAAGCTGTGTTTGTTCCTCGGTTAGAATCGTCATAGCCCCAGCTAACCATGCCGCAAACGAATCTGTAATAATATTCGTGATAGGTAATTGTGTTATATTCCAAACTAATGTAGAATATTCACAATAAACTAATGCATGCAACACATCTTCATTATTAAATCTGCACATAGGACATGTCGGGTCAATCTCCACCCTCTTATTAATTAGATTCGTTGTAGTGGGTAAAATATCACATACTGCTTTCCATAAAAAGGTCTTCCATTTTGGTGGTACTTTCAATTTCCACATCTTAACCCATTTATCAAAATCACCTGGGTTATTCTCATAATCACCAACAATACGCCTGTAGGCATTCTTTACTGAATAAATTCCTTTTGGGTCACCTATCCAGTACCATGAGTCATCATAATCAGGGCTAACAGGAATCATAACTATTCTGCTCACATCCTCAGGGATAAATAAATCAGATAAAATATGTGGATCCCATGTTTGTGTTTGTGGGTCAATCAAACCTGCTACTCTTGTTTCTCTTAACTCCTCAGGCATAATTGTTTGTACCAAGGGACTTGGATTATCCTGCAGTCATGGGTGTCCCCAAATTAGAGTTGTCTCACCATTTCCAATCATGCGTCTTATCCCAGCTACCACTATTGGATGTGCTGCCATTATACTTCTCCAACAAAAACTTGGACAATTACCAATAGTAGCATCAACAAAACTAGAAGTGGGGTAATACCTGGCTTTATATATTCTTGCCACCAGAGACTCTGGGTTTGTCAAAAAACGTCATGCCTGCTTGCCCAGCATAGCTAGATTAAAAGCCCTCAATTCCTTGAAACCCAAACCACCAAACTTCTTGAGGATACATAACTTATCCCATGCCTTCTAGTGAATCCCCTTATCTTTGCCACTTCCCCACCAGTATCTATTCATTGCTCTCTCAATGGATTGACAAACTGTTTCAGGCAATAAAAAAACACTCATTGAAAAAGTTGGCATAGATTGAGCCACACTTTTCAATAAAACTTCCTTACCAGCCTGAGATAATAACTTTGTGCTCCACGATCCAATCCTCTGCCTGATCTTTTCCTCCACATAGGAAAAAACTGCTCTTTTATTTCTGCCCACAAACGATGGGAGGCCCAGATATTTCCCAAAATTACTTGCCTGCACTACCACAAGATAGTCTGCCACCTGCGTTCTGACGATGTGGTGGGTATTTCGGCTAAAACATATGTTTGACTTGTTATAATTCACCACTTGTCCAAATAGTTTCTCATACCTCATCAAACAATCTTTAATCACCATAGCCTCATGAATATTTGCTCTAAAGAAAAGCAGGCTGTCATCCGCAAAGAATAAATGAGACACCGGGGGAGCACCCCTGGCCACTCTACATCCATATATAGATCCTGCCATCTGTTCCTTCTGCAACAACATCGAAAGTGCCTCAGCACAGATAATGAATAAATAAGGAGAAAGAGGATCTCCCTGCCTGAGTCCACGAGTCGGTTTGACCCGTCCCTCCACCTCCCCATTCACCATTACAGTATAGCTCACTGTTGTCATACACAGCATTATTAGCTTAATCCATCTATCACTAAAACCCAGCACCATCAACATTTTTTCCAGAAAACCCCATTCCATTCTATCGTATGCTTTTGACATATCCAATTTCAGTGCACTCCAGCCTACTACACCACACTGCTTCCTGTTCAAGTAGTGGCCCACCTCAGCTGCCACCAAGATATTATCTGTAATTAACCTTTCAGGAATAAAAGCACTTTGGGATTCCGAGATAATATCCCCCATCAAAACTTTCATTCTGTTTGCCATCATTTTTGCCATTATCCTATATATGACATTGCTTAACGCAATTGGTCTCAAATCTGTAACAGTCTCCGGGACCTCTTTTTTAGGAATCAATACTATATTCGTATCGTTCAACCCTTCTGGAAATACCCCAGAGTTCAAAGCATGCAATATAAAATCAGACACATCATCCCCCACAATAGACCAAAAATGCTGATAGAAACCCGGATTCATTCCATCCGGGCCTGGTGCTTTATCCGGGAACATACAAAAAAGTGTTGTTTTTACCTCTTCTACCGAAAAAGGCTGATTCAACATCTCATTATTCTCATTCGACACACGGGGGGCAAAATCAATAAAAAGGGGATCATCACAGCTCAAATTATCAGAAGCAAATATGCTCTTAAAATAATCCAGAATCACCGAATGCATATCTGTATCCTCCACCCAATCCCCACCCTCATTCTTAATACTAGCAATAAAATTCTTCTTTCTACGGGCAGAAGCATACCTGTGATAGAACTTGGTGTTAGCATCTGCACCCCGCAGCCAGTGTTGTTTCGCTCGCTGCCTCCAAAATACATCCTCCTGGGCCTCCAATTGCTTTAACTGATACTCATTCTGCTGGAATTCGGCCAATGCGGCCGGATTCGTTACATCACAGAACTTCTCTTGCCGCTTTCGCAACTGCCCTATTCGGTGACCAAATTTATGGAATTTGTCACCCCCCCCCCCCCCCCCCCCCATCGCATCAACTTTATACCACAAAACTGCTGACAGTGCAACAAGCCCTCCGGCCTCCCCTCCTGCCATGCTGTCTCCACCACCTCCTTGCACCCCTCATCCAATAGCCATGCATTTTCAAATCTAAACCTCCTCGGTCCTCTTACTCTACGCGTACTGAGAGCATTCATATTAAGGAACAGAGCCGAGTAATCTGATTCTCTAGTCTGCAGATTCTCCACCCATGCATTCTCATTCACACCACCCCACTCTTCCGTAATAAGCACCTTATCAAGCCTCTCCTGTATCCAATTCACCGTGCCTTTACTCTTGTCCCATGTGAACTGGCGGCCCCACATCGGCATCTGTATCAAACCACACGCATCAACGGTTTCCCCAAACCCTCGTAAGAGGCTATTCGGGTATGGATCCCCCCCCCCCCCCCCCTCCCCTCCCCCTCTTTTCATGTTGATAGAGAAGATTATTAAAATCCCCTATCACCACCCAGGGTAATCCAGATCTTCCCCTCAACATACACAGTAGCTCCCAGGTTTCCTCTCTTCTACTTCGATCCGAACACCCATATAAACATGTCATACGCCATAACTTGCCATTCATACTAACCTCAATATCAATGTGGTTGAACGAATAACTCAACAACCTAGTCGTGTTGTTCTTCTTCTAAAGGAGCGCCATACCCCCACTCAAGCCTTCATTATTCACATAAAACAACCCCTCATAACCAAGCCTGACAGGGACTCTCTCCGCATGACTCCGTGCCACCTTGGTTTCCATCAAAAACACAAACTCTGGCTTCTTACGGGACACTAGGTCCACTACTTCTCGAACTGTGCGTGGATTTCTCAAGCCACGACAGTTCCAGCTTATCGTACTCATGATGCTGGGCGGGGCTGGACACCAGCTCCCGCCATGAACAAGTTTTTTGAACCATCAGTGATTGTTATCTCATCATTCCCACCATCCTCTCCAATCTCCGTCCCATGCCTACGACGCTTTGCCGTAGCCACCACCACCTCATCCTCAGACATACTCGTGGGTGTGACTCCCCCACCTCCCCGACCCCCGTCTACTGCCCCAATCAACCTTTCCTTTACTACCAATGGACGTGGCTTCCCGCCTACCGGCACGAGCCAGCTATCCCCAACCGCTCTAGGAGCGCTCCGGGACGCACCAGCCCGCATATAACCCATAATCATGTAATTTTTTTTTTTTTGGTAGAATAATCATGTAATTTAGATACCATATAAAAAGACATATTTGTTTGGCAAAGTAATTAAAATTATTTGTAGTGAATATAACAACCTTCGTTTTGTGCGGTTGGCGCAGGTTCACACGCAACGCAACTCATCACTTTGCTTATATAAACAAACACACAGACATCATCGCAACTGCAAACTCAGAAAACCTTGCCGCCGCCTCTCTTGTTTTTCCTTAAACATTCCGAAAATTACATTCTCCGATCCTCCCACAATATAATAACCAAATCTGTTAGTTTCTTCTTCATTTTCCAATTATAAGCAAACAGCCATGGCCGCCGCCCAAGATTCTACTTCTTCCCCCAACACCACTGCTTACCATCATGGTTTGTCATCAATTATCCTTTTCTTCGAAAATATAATGTTTTTTTCTGTTTTTATTTATTAATTAATTGATTTGAGAATTTGTATGTTTATTTTGAGAATATTGTTATGGATTTTTACAAAAAAAAATATTATTCGCATGCAGGGACTGGAAATTCTTCTGAGCTGTCCCCACTGCAAAAGCATGTAGTGTTCTTCGATATCAACAAGGATGGCATCATTTATCCATGGGAAACTTATCAAGGTTTTTTTTTTTTTTTCTAATTAATTATTTTCTCTAAATTTCTTGGATATTTTAATTTTTTGTTACTAGAATAATAATAATTTTACTTTTATTATTTTTAACAATTTTATTATAGTTCGGTAATTAATTATGTTTAATTAAATTGTTATTTTGTGTGATTATATAATTATTTATTAGGTTTTCGAAAAATTGGATGTGGGGTGCTTCTCTCAATTTTTGCATCCGTGTTTATAAATTTAGGTCTCAGTCGAAAAACTCGACCGGTAAGACACAAACTCTCTTTACACGTATATAGAGATGCATAGAAAATATTATTTTATTGATCTTGTTATTGTGCTTTTGTATAGTAGCAAGTATTTCTTTTGTAGTATATGGAGATGCATATATAGAAAAGATTATCTTATTGATCTTGTTATTGTGCTTTTGTAGCAAGTATTTTTGAAAGATATTATAATGTTCAATTTTTTTTTAAAGCTCCCACCGATCATGTCACCAACTCATCTGGAATGGTAATAGAGATGTCATCATACTATATAATAGTTGGTTAATGTTTAATTATTTAAAATAGAAAATGATCCATTATTATTTAGGTAACTTTTATGCACATGCACTAATGTGTTGATATCAGTGAGCCAATATTTGTTTTTGTATCTCACGGAATCTAGTTTTATTATTTAGGTAACTTTTATGTACACTTTTATTCAATATTTGCTGTTGGGAAAGAAAAAGTTTATTCTTTCCTTTTATGAATATAGTTCCCCATTCTTTTCTTTTGTGCCACGCATTGCACGTTAGTTCCTAGCATATATACAACATAATATTTTATATTCTGTGACACGAAATCTGCACTTTTTATTTTGTGTGACACATGTTAGAGTGCGTTGTGAGTTGTTAATAACCTTTTACATAGTTGTCACAACATGTTTGTGTCACACATTGCATGTCACCTATTATTCACTTTATAAAAAAGTTATTATCTTTGGCCCTTTGGATATATTAAAAATTTGAGAAACCTATAATATTGAAAGAAAAAAAATCATATCCCAATTGTTATAAATACAAATGATTGATCGGTGTCGTGTTATTTTTTGTAAAAAAAATAAATATTACGGAGTATTTACAAAAATGTTATCACTTGTTTTCATTTATAATCGTAGCTACGATATCCATCCAATATTGACACTTTAGGTGTTAGGCTAAATTTATCATGAAATTTGGGCATTTGCAAGGTGACATGACACCTTTTTTTTTTTTTTTATAAAAAAAAAAAAAAACAATTTTTTTTAACCACCCAGAAAATGATGCCGCTCTTGTTGCTGCGGCAGCCTTTTGTACTTTTTAAAATTCTTTTATTTATTTATTTTTGTTTTGATTTTTTTTTATTTTGTTTTGATGTGATGTGAAAGTGGAATTACTTTTAAAAGTTAGAGAATATTGTAGGGTTGTAGAGAAAATAGTTAAGAAATTATAAATTTGATAATGTGAAAAGATGAACTACTTTTAAAAGTGAGAATATTGCAGGAATAAATTCAGCCTTATATCAAATTTAAATAATATAATGACTGGAATGTCATGTCAAACATGATTTTTCATATAAATCCTACAAAACTACTCTTAATAAGATTCAATCAAACTCATGATTAAGGGATCTAATTTTAAGGTTCTTGAACATAATTATCATGTATAGGAAGTTGTGAGGTTTATTTCGTTCTATTTAAATGCAGCAATTTGTGTGACAATATATTCTCTTGTATTCTGTATTTAATTTTGTACCTCAAAAATTTATTTTTTAAAAAATATTGGCAAGAAATAATAATAATAATAATAATAATAATAATAATAATAATAATAATAATAATAATAATAATAATAATAATAATAATAATGGTTTGTTGCAGGGAAAGTGGCCATCCCTTCTCCTCCCTATTGAGGTGAAAAACATCAAACTCGCCAAACATACTAGCGATTCTGGCGTCTATGATTCCGAAGGAAGGTAATTTTGAAGAATAATATAATGTAAATTTGTTAACAAAAAATAATTCCTAAATATTAACATTTGTGATGTTTCGTTACATGTTATTACATTATAACTTTTACATATAACTTATAAAAATAAAGAGTTTGATAGTGAGAGAGAACATTGGATAAGTTTATAAACTTCATATAAGGTCCAATGCTTGAAGGGGCCCATGGTTAGGCAAGCCCAATAGTGGTTTTTTTTTTTTTTTTTTTTTTTTTTTTTAGTAAAAACAACACAAGATTAATTTTATAATTATTAAAAAAATTAAGTTTATAATATTTATAAAAGTATAAAGTTGACTCTGCAACTTTTTCTCTTACTTTTTAGACGAATTGTTCATTATTCATCATACCTTAACTTAATATATCATGTCCCTTGTATTCACTTTACCTGGTGTCTATAAAATGATACGATCATCTCGTTAACAAGAAAAATAATATTTTTCAATTATAAATGAATTATACTCATTCACATTATAAAAATCATTGTATTACTTATTAGTGAAATCAATTTTTTTTGTTTATTTTTTTAAAACAAATTTCTATAATTCTCAAATTTCACTTTTCTTTTTTGTCTTCAATGAAACTTTTTAATAGATTTTAAAATATATAAATTGTAATATAAATTAAATATAATAAAATGTGAATTGTTAATAGTTTGAGTCGAGTCTCATTATCCCTATGACTCTATGTAATACTTGTAATTTCAGATAAAACGAGTGTTATAGAATAAAGTTAATATTATGTTTACCCCACTTTTTACTCCATTTTTCTTTTAACTCTCTAGTACCTACTTATATGACATACATGGATCTAGAAAAATTGGAACCACAATTTTTTCTTTCATTGCCTTTTTTTTTTTTTTTTTGTCTAATAAAATCAGTACATGTGAATACAGTAATACTCCCTACAAATATATATATATATATATATATATAGAATTAATATAATAAATGTTTATTACATTTTGTAGGTTTGTTGAATCAAAATTTGAGGAGATATTCAAGAAACATGCAAAAGCAAATGCTAATGGTTTAACATCAGAGGAATTGGATGAAATGCTCAAGGCAAATAGGGAGCCAAAGGACTATAAAGGATGGTAAATTCATTCTTTTATTTCTCTCATCATGAAATTGTTTGAATAAGATATTGACATCTAAATTTAAAAAAAAAAATGCAGACTGCAATATATATTATTATGGAAAGCACTTTTTTTCTCTCTTGAATTTTCCGGATGTGACTTTCAATCATTAACTGCTGATGAATTGGTTGACCATACCACTAGTTATTTAAAAAAAAAAAAAAAAAACAAGAAATTTAGTTGTTCAATAAAATAATATCACATGCCCAAGGGGAAGATTTTTAAAGGGGAAATACTGAAGGGTGTGTAGCATTCAAAGGAAACCATCTTATGGGTCTCAACGCATCTGGTTGGCACCATTAATCCCCTTTCTAAGACTGAACTTGGCCCGACCTACGCCCATATCTACGAATTGATTTGTCTCGGTGTTGCACTACGCTTACTTCACTGTTACACATCTTGTGAGTGTTGTAAGTCAAGTACGCTCAATAACATAATTATTTGACTATCTAGTTGTCATATTCTACTTAAAATCAATTGGTGATAAGTAGGTGAATATTAACCATTTAACAACATCCATCCATGGTAAATCACAACGTCACTTGTCTCGATTAATATCTTCTACCTCCCAAATTTACTTTTCGCTTTTCTTTCCAAGTTGTTCCCCTTTCTCATATTCTATTTTAACCGAGACAGTCGTTACTATTTCTCTTCATTTGTGCATATCCTTATAGAGAATTTCCAACTTCTTGTGCAAAATTTCAACGGATTTTGAGCATTAATCTGATAAATTGAATTTTTATCACGACCTTTAATTTAATGTTTAAAGTTTAATATTGAGTTTGGTTTATAGGGTTGGTGCATTGTCAGAGTGGAAGATACTATACCTCCTAGGCAAAGACAAGAATGGGATTTTGCACAAAGAAACTATAAGAGGAGTTTATGATGGAAGCCTGTTCGAAATAATGGCCAAGGAGCATGCATCTAAGAAGCAAGTCTAATTGATTTTTTTTTTAATCCTTGATCTTCTGTTTTTACTAGAACATGAATTTAATGAAATGAACTTGAAGAATTGTTTGAATACTTGTTCATATTTTTTTTTTTTCATATTTGACTGATTTCTTTTCAAGTGGTAATAATTATTTATGATGTGTAATGTATATTCTACTTTTGCAATGTACAAAATATATTTGTGCATACCTCTAAAAGGCTCTTTATATATATATATATATATATATATATATATATATATATATATATATATATATATATATATATATATATATATATATATATATATATATATATATAGGGATGCACTCAGGTGTGAATAAGTGCTCAGGAGGGAAATGCGAACGAATCAGCGCGCGACACGTGTCCAGATCTAATAACTTAAAAAAAACGCGGTGACATTTTCGTAAATAATTGAACATCGAAGTGCAAGTAAAATCACTTACAAGTGCACCTACTTTCACCTAAGTGCATGTAATTTTGGCTTGTTAGCATTCACTTTCCGCAAATATTCATGCACCTGGGTGTGTTTATAACTATATGTGCAACTATTTATAACTATAGGTACAACTACTTATAACTATAGGTGCACCTACTTTCACCTATAAGTGCATGTAATTTTGCGTTGTTAGCATTCACTTTCCGCAAATATTCATGCACCTGGGTGTGCTTATAACTATATGTGCAACTATTTATAACTATAGGTGCAACTACTTATAACTATAGGTGCACCTACTTTCACCTATAAGTGCATGTAATTTTGCCTTGTTAACATTCATTGATCTGAGTTCAGCGGGTAGTAATACCCCTGAAAACCACTCGCAAACATTCATACACCTAGGTGCAACTACTTATAACTATATGTGCAACTACTTAGAACTATAGGTGCAACTACTTATAACTATAGGCGCAACTAAGTATTGATGCTCAGTGTAAATTTTTACTTGCACCGATAATACATTGTACATGCACTTGTAATACATTTTACTTGCACTTCGATGTTCAATTATTTACGAAAATGCCACCGCGTTTTTTTAAAAAATCAGTGTTTCTCATCCATTAGATTTGGACACGTGGACGGACAGAATCCATTCCTATTTCGCGCTTGGGCGAAGCATTCGCACCTGAGTGCGATTATATATATATATATATATATATATATATATATATATATATATATATATATATATATATATATATATATATATATATATATATATATATATATATATATATATATATATATATTGATGGATTATATGAACCCGGGGGTCTGGATTATACAACTCGCGTATATATCAAATGTGATAAACGAATAATGAAATAATAACGATTGGGATGTGTATGAAAATGATATTATATTAATGAACGTGTAACGCTATTATAGAGATTCGGAACGTGTAATAACAATACAATTGTAGATAGGAAGTAGGAGATGCTTGATTAGGACACCGGGGGGTGTTTATATACTCCCCGGTTGCTACGGGCCCTGGGCCCGCGGGAGGAGCCGCGAGACTCGCTCCACACGAGGACCCAGCCCTTGGCCGAGCACGGAGCTCGATCGAGCCCACGGGGCCGTGGCCGAGCTCGTGGGGTCGGTCAACGCCGAGCCGACCCCGGGGTGGTTGGCCGACCTCGGGGCGATTCACCACGCGTGGCGGGTGGTCCGTGGGTGTCGGGTCCGACCCGCTCCGCTCCGATTCTGCTCCGTGATTATTCCATCATATATATATATATATATATATATATATATATATATATATATATATATATATATAGTGGTGCAAACCCACCTCTTAAACAAATGTAGGACAAATGCTTTTACAAAGCTTTTGTACCTTCATTTTCCAACTCAAATGGGTCGACTTTGAGAATCAATTTTTCATTCACTTATTATCCGTTTTGTCTGTTTTGAGCTTACAATATATAAATATTTTTGTCTTACTACGAAAAAATTGAGTCCACTTTGACCCGACCCAAATCAGAAATGGATAGGACATATATTTATACCACAAAATAACTACTTTTTATGTCAATTTACAAAAGGTTTTATGGTTGAGTAATATGGCTCTGGTCCTTCAAATGAAAGGTCTCAGATTCAAACCCTAGTGTGAAAAAAAAGAAAGAAAGATAACCTCATACATAACTATGAGTTTGGTTTTAAAAATTTTACTACTTGTGGGGAGATGAGGAATTCAAATGGTAGGTGCCAACTCGAACATAATAAGACAAACTAGAAATTAAGGGAAAGTTCTATAAAGAATCGCACATTCGCACAAGACATTTTTTAGATGAAAAGTATTCCTGGTTCCATTTTATGGGTTGAATTCAGTTAATACTTGACTAATTTTTTTTTTTTTTTTTTTATGTTCATTTATCATTTAGAATCACAAGATATAATTTATTTAAGGAATAAGGGTCAAATAGGCCATCGAACTGCACCTAATAATACAATTAGGCCACTGAACCCAAAAAACTAACAATTGAGTCCCTAAACTAACCAATTCCTAACAATTCATCCAATTTGAAAGTTTCTAACAGATCAACAACCAAATTAATTATTTTTTAAAAAATAAAATTTAAAAATTAATTATTAAAATTAAAAAAAAAAAAAAAAAAAAAAAAAAAAAAACAGAAACGTCCGGCCTGTTTCTTCGTCTCCACGGCCGGAGACGAAGAAACTCTTCGTCTCCACGGCCGGAGACGACCTTCGTCTCCGGCCGTGGAGACGAAGAAATCGTCGTCTCCGGCCGTGGAGACGAAGAAACTGGCCGGAGACGAAGAAGTTTCTTCGTCTCCGGCCGTTTCTGTTTTTTTTTTTTTTTTTAATTACTTAAATAATTAATTTTTAAATTTTATTTTTTTAAAAATAATTAATTTGGGAGGATGACCTGTTAATCTGTTGGAAACCTACAAATTGGAAGATTTGTTTGAAATTGGTTAGTTTTGAGACCTGATTATTGATTTTTTAGATTCAGTGGCCTAATTGCATTATCTTGTACAGTTCGATGGCCTATTTGACACTTATTCCTTTATTTAATGACACTCTTAAATACGGAGTAGTAACTATTGTTTCCTTTAGAAAGAAAAAAAAAAAAAAAAAAAATAGACCATTCTCTTGAGAAATGTTTTTGTGTGTTATAAATTGAATTGTAACGGCGTGGGCAGCGGGCAGCGCCCTCGTCTACACGCGAATGGCGCATTAAAAGTTGCAATGAAAACGAAATCTGCGTACAGCACAAGATAATAAAGCCAAAACACAAGAATCCCTTTCCCCGAATCCTCTTCAAACCAACAAGACCAGCCCCACTTCTCCGTCCAAACAGTACTCTCATACAGAGGAGGAATGAGGGCCTGATCGAGGGGTCAGCAGGCAGTAATGGAGAAAGCAGAGCAAGAGTTAGAGCGGAGGAGCAAGTTCTTGAGCAGCTTGATACAGAGGAAGAAGGCGGTGGAGGAGGAGGAGCAAAAGAAGCAGGAGAATGAGGTCCTGAATCTCCGCGTCAGGGCCTCCGACATGCCCTTATCGCTTCAGAACAGGGCGTTTAGCTGCGCAAGGAACTGCCTTCACTCCATGCCTTCTGCCAAGCTTGACAGCAAACGCCTCGCTCTTGCTCTCAAGAAGGTACCTAATCTGCTTATCCATGGCCATGGATGGGTTTAATCCACTTTTTTAACTTTTTGTTTTGGAAACAATTTTACTGGGCTTTTCTAGTTCAGCTGCATTGTTACATAAAGATTGAATTTTTCAGTTTTGGGGGCCGGAGGGTGCTGACTGCTAAGGCCTAAGGGTTTGAGTTGGACAATGGTAGTGTAGATTTTCTTGGATTTCTTATGGTACTGGATTGGAGGTGTCCCTTCTTAGTTGCTTTACTTGCCAACAAAAAAGGCGAAATTCCCTCGCCCCGGGCCCATAGGATAGTCGGGGTTAAATTACGGTGATTCTGTGGCCCATTAGTGGGAAGGTTAGTGCCTGGTGCACACACCCCCTATACTATACTATAGTTGCTAGGCTCGATTATGTGTCCTTTCCACAGTTTACAACCCAGGAACTAATTGAACTGATACTCTTAGTTGCTTTTCTTGTCCACGAAAAGGCGAAATTCCCTCGCCCTAGGATCTATAGGATAGTGGGGGCTAAATTACGGTAATTCCGCGGCCCATTAGTGGGAAGGTTAGTGCCTGGTGCACACACCCACTATACTATAGTTGTTAGGCTCGATTTTGTGTCCTTTCCACAATTTACCATCCAAGAACTAACTGAACTGATGCTCTTAGTTTCTTTCCTTATTCTCTAGTTTGTTTTCTTTGCACATTGCATTCGACTTCATCTGAAAATCCTAATTTTAGACCATCATGAGATTCAGCTTGTGCACTTGATGCCTATTAAGCTTCAGCTTTGTCAGTAATTATTGTTGATTTTTTTGAATTGTCCATAGATATGATGCTAGGAGTTTTCATGGATTTGGATGTAGCAATTATGTATGCAGAACCCCTCAACTGAAGGATATTCGTTTGCTTTGGTTTATCGTCGTAGTTCATCGTACTATTTGAATTGTGCCAAACATAACAGTTGACATTGCTGCCAGATTTCCTAGTGCACATATTGTGAAAGCAACTAAAACACAGCTCCATCTTTGTTATCGAATTCTTTTCTGATTACCAAAAAAAAAAAAAAAAAATCTTCATTATAGAATGACTATTTCCCGATAAATCTTGACTGTTGGATAGTAAGCACTTGTCTCTTAATGCCTGATATAATATGAAACTTATGAATATAGAGCTCAGTTACAGTTGTTTCGAGTATCTTTTAATGTTGGGCATTGCTGAATAGAATTCTAACGCTGTTTTCAGGCATTGCAGCAATCTGAATCAATAATTAACGTTACTCGTTTTTTGTTGGCTCTACAGGAATTCGACTCGGAATATGGTCCAGCTTGGCATTGCATCGTGGGGACTAGCTTCGGCTCATACGTCACGCACTCCCTGGGCGGGTTCTTGTACTTTTCGATCGATAAGGTTTACATTCTTCTATTTAAGACTGCTGTGAAACCTTTGGATCAATGAGCGTCGAGTGCTGATCTGTTGATTCCCACGCCCCCGCCCCCCCTGTAATTTCGAAAAACGTTAGTTGGGGAACTTCTTGTTTGTGTGTTGAATTTGACATCTCCAGAAGCTGAAAAAAGCCAGACATCTAGAAATGAAATTTGGAAGCTAATGCATACACTAATGACTAACCTGTCTGAATTCTAAGGTTTTGTGTATCTTTGTTTGAATTCTTAGATTTTTGGAGTACCATACTATGTATTAGATTGGTAGAATTCTTGTGAATACATATTTAAGGTTTTATGATTATTGCTGTCTGTGCTTTCATTCTTTGGTAGATATTGCATTGCCATTCCAATGTATTCTCTCCTTTTTTTTCATAAAGTCACTATTTTTATAATCAGTCCGCATATGTGAAGGAGCGTGTTGAGCATATAATACATCTCCAAAAAGCTGTTCAGGGCAACTTTTTTGAACGGCTTTTTGAGAAAGTCATTTGGCTGGTATTAATTTACCAAACATCTTTTTACAATTAGCTAAGATCACACAATATTACAACATGAATAAATCAATTCAACATGGAAATGGAAAAGCATATTTCCTGACCCAACTTCAGCACAAGAGAATATTTCTTTTATATGAATGAACTGAAGAAAAATACAGTGCAGGCACAACACAATACAGTTCCAAATGCTTCAAAGAAAAAATGACTCTAAACCCTAAAATAATTACAGTGATTATCACATATCATCACTGCCTTGATTTCGATTCAACAACCCAATGGGAGCACCACTTAGCTGCAAAACTACTTGCAACCCGAGCTTCGAATCGCATGCTGCCCCATAAACTCACTTAGGAACCAAAATTGGGGGCGCCCGATGTTAGCAAAGAACCCGAGAAACCAAATGAATAGAATCTATCGACTCAAGGAATAATACAAATAAGCACGTCAATCAATATCCTTCTACAAGAAAGCTGCACACCACAGTGTCAAGCCGACTATAAGAGAGGAGACGAGAACATTGCTGTCATATAAGTACTGTGATCGACATCCAGAGGTCGTAGAGTTTGATGATGGCGCGAGAGAGGTGCCATTTGTGAAGGTTCCATTTCTCCCACCACTAAATGTACAAAAGGTTAAAAAAAGAATTAGTATAGCTGAGACTTAAGAATCATAATAAACTAACGATTAATCAAACACGAATACATACCTTCCTGGAAATATACAAGAACCGTGACCTGCATAGGACAGAATTATCAGCGTTCCACTAGTCCTCTAGACCAAAAAATCGAATACTAATTCAAGAATACGTGATCAACTAGAAAGTCCCATTTTATCAATACCCGTGGACCGAATAGGCTCTGATACCATGTTATAAATTGAATCCAATCAATTAGCTAGTCTAACCTAATAACCTATGACCTTAGACCTATATATCCTCTTTTATTTTATCAATGTGTGACTCTTAACAATTTTTAAATTTGTTTTTTTTTTAATGTTTAATAGTACTTTTTTAATGTAGTTTCTAAATATATAAATTTTATATACTAATACTAAACTTAACATTATGAAAATTTGAATTAAAAATAACTTCAGTCAAACCATGTTAATCAAACCAGACACATAAAATGGGACGAAGGGAGTATTACTTACTTGGGTCACTGGTAGTGATGGTGCCGACTCCATTGAAGTTGCAGGTTCCATCGGCCATGCCCATCCGATGATAATACGCATCGAAAGCATATGAAGCATGCCCGGCTACAGTATTTGGTTCAAAGCACGGGTTTCCTTGCAACAAAGGCGAGCAGTCCACTTTCCCGGGGCCACAAGCCCAATCCAATGCTGCTTGAAGCATCTTTTTGTCAGCATTGTCCCGAGCCACACAGTACGTTTGATTCGTAGTGTCGTTTGCCAACACGGTCCCGGAACCCGTCAAGTGCAGGGTATATACCGGCATTCCACTGGGGTAAAAGAGCCCCCAGTTCTGTTCGGAAATAGCACCGGGCCTCTGGTCTTCGTTGTACAGCTCGTAAATGTAAGTACTAACTGCAATCCCGGGGTGCTTTGGTGTCCCGGTGCTATTAAGAACATGCCTAATCAGGTTACTGTTGTAAGTGTTAGCGTTATCGAGCGTAGCATCGGGCTCGGAGGAGTCGCCCTTCGAAGGCCAACCCGATTCGGTCACCACAACGGGAATATTCGTGAAGTTGAGATCAGCCATAGCGAAATACGCCGCATCAACTATCGCATCGAACACGTTAGTGTAGTGTAGGAGCGTGTTGGAATCGACGGCTTCTTTATTAGGAGGAAGGGGGCGGAAAAGAGCGTAATCCAAAGGGATTGCGCCATTCGACAACCGATAAGCATAGTAGGGATACACATTGAGCATGAGATACGAGCTCGTGGATTGGAGAAACTTGAGCAAGGGGACCATAACCGGGTTCCACGAGCGATTGAAGAAGGCTTGTGAAGGGGGGAAAGAGTCGAGGATAATTGAAAACGGGTGTGGAGTCGAGACTTTGATTTGAGAATCGAGATTAGCAGCAACGAGAGCAGAATGAATGAACTTCATGGCGGATACCAAGATAGGGGCGGCATTTGGAAGGGTGGTTAGGACTTCGGATCCAACCGCTATGGCAGTTATGTTGGTGGCGGGGATATGAGTAAGAATATTGCGGGAAACCCAGTTGGCTGCAGTGGCATTCGACTGCCCAATACCTAAGATCTGGTCATTTGGAACCGAGACGGTGACACGGATTCCAGTATTAGCGAGTGCCAGTAGCATAGCTCGGTCAGTATCGAAGAGTCTAACATGGTGGATTTGCTGTGCCTTGAGGAGGGCTACCACCTGACTCGGATTGGGCATATCAGAGAGGTCCGTACCTATATTTACCCCAATGAAAGACTCTGCACAATGAAAAAAATATTACAGTTATTTGCGGTTTAGCGCCATTACACCCTTATAAGATGGACTCATCCTCTTTATTATGTTCTAGAACTAGTAACAATCAAATTTATCGATGATCAATAGCATACAAACTATCAAACAATGCCTCTTAGTTTTCTAACCCCACCCCCATCCCTTCTCCGAAAAACCCACCTAGTTGTGGCAAATTCCTTTTTTTTCGATTACGGGGAAACCCAGCACCACTACCTGAGGGTGTGCACTGGTAAACCCTACCTTGTAACCCTAGCCAGCAAAGGACCGACCACAAGGAAGTAAATCAGCCTAAGTTGTCCATAGCTGACCAGCTCAAACCAAGAAGGTTAATTGGCCACTCCCAATGCCATTCAAATTCAATGGCACATTGAGTGAACTTTCTTCAACCAAGACAAAATCACATTTCGAACTTTCGGGCTAAGCTACAACTACCCATTACATTAGAAGAACCACGAAGAAACAAATTAGCGAGTTCCCATATACATCAACGAACTAAAACCACGTGCACAAAAGAATCATCAGACATCATGGGCAACACAACATATAATACAAGAGGTTGCCTACTCCATGTGTTAGAATTGTAAACCTCGAACTTTATGAAAAAAGACAGAACTACCCTGCAAGTGCATGCCCCAGATTCCATGAGTCCACTCACCCCTATTAAACAATGTTGTGACTGAATTTTATATACCAATAATTAGAAGAGAAGGCACATGAGCTGTACCACATCTTGAGAGAAACTTGGTGGCCAATTAGTCGGTTTCAACATACAAAGAAGAACTTATGAGAAAGACACCCAATGCTTTGAAAAGAGCATAGAAGAATACCAATGAAAAAAAGATTCTCTCTTTCTCTACAATAATCCACATTTTTTACAGTCCAAAGTTTAAACAGTAATTTAAGGTTTCCTCTAGGGTTTTGACTTTTGCAGCTCTGAACACCTTACCTCTTGTTCATACAATAATGGCTTATATATCAGAAGAAATCATTCAATAAATTCTCACTTCTCAGTAATATATACCCACAAAATTTTTAAGTGCAAAGAACAGCTGAGTTCAATGTGTGAAATTCCTAACTAAGAGCTCAAGAAAACTAAAATGCATAAAAGAAAGTATACTAAAAAGGGCAATTTTTTTTCTCTCTGTATCTCTGTTTAAATTTATTTTTTTTCCTTCAACAGATAGGGGAAAAGAAAAGAATGATAAAAGAACAAAACCCATAAATGAAATGATAAAAAGATTGCAAGAAAAGAAGAAAAGCACTGACCTTCACCAGAAGAAGCAGCAGAAAATACTGAAAGAGGAAGAATAAGAAGAAGAAGAAGAAGCAGCAGAAATGCAGACTTGGGCATCCCCATCATCTTCTCCATCCAAAGCTTCAATCTTTACAAAACTACATAAACCCCCAAATTGCAAAAAATGGATCTTTTTTACTTAATGGGGAGATGGGTTTGGGGGGTGGGGGGATTTGTACTTTTATTGAGGAAAATGGGAAATCTAGCTATGGAAAGTGAGACTGAGAGAGGAAAGTGAGTGTGGAAAGGGAGAGATTAAGGGGGAATTGTTTTTAGATTTAATTCAAGTTTTAACGTCTGTTGGGTACAGATCATCATAGGCTTTGTCAGACAGATCGACGGCTGAGATCGATTCATTGGATGCCCCTTCAAAGTTCAAACCCATTGCATGAAGTACTAGTTAGCACTGCAACTCTGCAAGTAAATGAGTATCAGATTTCAAAGAAATAATTATTTCCATTTTAGCCCCACAACTACTAGAGTAATAATATATTTTCTAATTTTCACATTTGATTTTCAAGTTTCATTTTCTTTTCTTTTTTCTTTTAATAGGTTATCTTGCCCTTTAGCACACACAAAGATTTTCACCACTACTAAGTACACTTCTAGTGCAATCTTGCCCTTTAGCACACACAAAGATTTTCACTACTAAGTACACTTCTAGTGCAATTCTACCTTATCGCCAGAAACAAGATTAAACGTTAATTGAGTGACCATTTGAACTGCTTAACAAGGCTTCAAGTTTCATTTTTATCATATTGAGTCATGAGTGTATAGTCCCGTGGGAGTAGCTCAAGTGGTCGACCATTCAATATTTAGTCTTGCTTCTATAGATAATCAGTAGTAAAAATGATCTCTTTGTGCGCATTAGTGTACAAATAACGAGAGAAACTTAGAATTATTTGAGCAACTCGAGATTTACCTCATTTGTAAGCCTTGAGGTGAGTTTATGAGATCCAGATATACTGAGGTGAAATTAGAAAATTTGGATTATTAAAAAAAAAATGAGTGTACAATTTTTATTTTTTTATATGGAGTATCATATTTAGTCCTTTTTTTATGGAATCTTTACAAAATAATTAAAATGCATCAGA